GTAAATGCAGATGGCTTCCCCTGAACAGCATTCTACATTCAGAAGAGAGAACACTAGTCACAAGTTAACATTTGTACAAATAAAATAATCATGATAGCACATGAAAAGGAGACTGCTCGTAAGATCTAACATGATTTTATTGGTAAAAGCTGTTTAAAACTTTCATAACATGGAGGTGTCTTGATAACGCCACGAAGACCAAAGCAGTATAACACAGAGGTTGACATTTTAAAAAATTCCAGTGGATGCATAATACTTTGACGTAAAATTTGCATGGTTTGAAGGGTAAACACTTCTGTGCTAAGGTTTGACTATTTGGGGGAATAGCAGTGGGATCAATTTATTCAAGAGAGCAAACAAAAAGCATCATCCAGGGAAGTGAGAAAAACTATTTTTTATTGTACTTCAGCTAAATATATCATTTTCTCAGGGACTGAATGATTTAAAAGTGAATTTATCAGAACTTGAATAATATGTATAATTCAAGTGAGACCTCTGGATTCTTATGGGTCCAAGAATGTCTAGTTAAATGCTCCTGTGACTGCTGAGATGCATCCTCCATTGGAAATCCTGAATGAATCAGGAGCTGAGAGTTGATGTACACTTCTTGGTTTACATGGCTCAACCTTCTACCATTTGGTTGTCAATCTCTTGCTTACTTCTCTGTAGTGACAGGCAACTCACTGCCTTTTGAGCTACTTTTAAATATCTAGAGTCTTTATTTTGAATCCACATCTATCTCCTGTTTTTTGAAATAAGGTATTATCAAATTATTGTAATGACAAAACATTCATTTTTTTTGGTTAAAATTGTTATAAACTTCATTTTATTAAAAGAGAAAAAAGAAATATTAGCATCCTAATTGCCAAAGACAAAACTCTAAAATACTCTGAACTCCCACTTGGGACCTGGTGTAATTTTATTTGGTCTTTTAGAGTAAAGGGGGTTGGTTATTTGGGTATGGACACAGGGTGTACCAAGAGTAAAGAAACATAATACACAGGAGATTCATTCTAGAAAGATCACTGGTTTACAGAGTGGCTGTAATGCAGTACACACAGGAAAGAATTGCTAAGGGAACTACTGTACTGTCAGATGTGAAACAGTCTGTGACCATGAGGAGCAACTGAGCAGAGAGTAATAAATTAGTCAGCCATTTGAGGGAACCTGAATATTCAAATGTTTTGTGTCACATGGTCATAATGTGTAAAACAACATTGCCCCATTGACTCCTTCTCACTTTTCTCTAGCTTTTGAGATGCAGTATAGTCACAGCCACAATCAGGTTCAATCTGCTTCCCAAGTGGTTTATAAAATGCTCCACAGTGCTACACAGCAATAGTGTGAAATGTTACATTCAAATGGAGGCTGTATTTGTTGAGCCAAACTTTAAAAATTCAGCAGCATAGCAAGACCCAACAATATGCTGCCCCCAGGAAACACATCTCAGCTCTAAAGACAAACATAGGCTTATAGAGCACTCTATCCAAAAATAGCAGAATGTACATTCTTCTCAAGTGCACATGGAACATTCTCAAGGATAGACTGTATATTGTGAAACAAGGCAAATCTCAATAAATTTAAGAAGATCCAAACCATATCTACTATCTTTTCCAACCATAAAGCTATGAAACTAGAAATCAACCACAAGAAAAAAGCTTTGAAAGGAACAAAAATGTGGAGAATAAACAACATGCTACTGAACAACCAATGGCTCATCGAAGAAATAAGGGAGAAATAAAAAAATATTTAGAGATAAATGAGAATGAAAACACACCATACCAACTCATATAGGATGCAGCAAAAGCTGTCCTAAGAGGGCAATTTATAGCAATACAGGCCCATGTGAACAAATAAGAAAAAGCTCAAAGAAACAATCTTAATTACACCTAACAAAAGTAGAAAAAGAAGAACAAAGAAAGCCCAAATTCAGCAGAAGGAGGGAAATAAATAAAATTAGAGCATAAATAAATGAAATTGAAACAAAAAAGACTGTAGAAAGGATCAATGAACCAATGAACTGAATCTTTGAGAAGATAAACAAAATTGACAAACCTTTAGGTAGACTCACTAAGAAAAAAGAGAGAAGACTCAAATAAAACTAGAAATGAAAGAGGAGAAATTACAATGGATACCACAGAAATACAAAAGATTATAAGAGAATATTATGAAAAACTGTGTACCAACAAACTGGACAATCTAGAAGAAATGGATAAATTCTTAGATTCTTACAACCTCCCAAAACTGAGTCAAGAAGAAATAGAGAATCTGAATAGACCAATCACAAGTAAAGAGATTGAAACAGTAATCAAAAACCTCCCCCAAAATAAAACTCCAGGACTAGATGGCTTCTCTGGAGAATTCTACCAAACATTCAAAGAAGATTTATTACCTATTCTTCTCAAACTATTCCAAAAAATTGGGGAAGACAGAAATATTCCTAACACATTACACAAGGCCAACATCACCAAAGCCAGACAAGGACAACACAAAGAAGGAAAATTACAGGCCAATATTGCTGATGAACATAGATGCAAAAATCCTCAACAAAATATTGGCAAACAGAATACAGCAATAGATTAAAAAGATCATACACCGTGATCAAGTGGGATTCATACCAGGGACAAAGGGATGGTTCACCATCCACAAGTCAATCAATATGATACACCACATTAACAAAATGAAGAACAAAAACCACATGATAATCTCCATAGATGCAGAGAAAGCATTTGACAAGATCCAACATCCATCCGTGATAAAAACTCTCAATAAAATGCGTATAGAAGGAAAGTACCTCAACATGATAAAAGACCATATTTGACAAACCCACAGCCAGCATCATACTCACTGGGGAAAAACTGAAAGCCATCCCTCTGAGAACAGGAACAAGACAAGGATGCCCACTTTCACCACTCTTATTCAACATAGTACTAGAGGTTTTGGCCAGAGCAATTAGACAAGAAAAAGAAATAAATGGAATCCAAATAGGCACTGAAGAAGTGAAACTCTTGCTGTTTGCAGATGACATGATTTTATATATAGAAAACCCTAAAGAATCCATTGGAAAACTATTAGAAATAATCAACAACTACAGCAAAGTTGCAGGGTACAAAGTCAACTTACAAAAATCAGTGTCATTTCTGTAATAATAACGAACTAACAGAACAAGAACTCAAGAATGCAATCCCATTTACAAACACAACAAAAAGAATAAAATATTTAGGAATAAATTTAACCAAGGAGGTGAAAGACCTATACAAAGGAAACTATAAGACATTACTCTAAGAAATCGATAATGACACAAAGAAATGGAAAGATATTCCATGCACGTGGATTGGAAGAATAAACATAGTTAAAATGTCCATACTACCTAAATCAATCTACAGATTCAATGCAATCCCAATTAGAATCCCAATGATATTCTTCACAGAAATAGAACAAAGAATCTTAAAATTCATATGGGGCAACAAAAGACCCCGAATAGCCAAAGCAATCCTGAGAAACAAGAACAAACCTGGTGGCATTGCAATCCCTGACTTCAAAACATATTATAAAGCTATAGTAATTAAAACAGCATGGTACTGGTACAAGAACAGTCACACATATCAATGGGACAGAATTGAAAGCCCAGAAATAAAACCACACACCCATGGACAGCTAATCTTTGATAAAGGAACCAAGAACATACAATGGAGAAAGGAAAGCCTCTTCAATAAATGGTTCTGGATAAATTGGACAGCCACATGCAAAAGAATGAAACTAGACCATTATGTTTCCCCATACACAAATAGACTTAAAATGGATCAAAGACTTGAAGGTAAGACCTGAAACCATAAAAGTTTTGGAAGAATATATAGGCAGTACACTCTTTGACATCAGACTTAAAAGGATCTTTTCGAATACCATGTCTACTCAGACAAGGGAAACAAAAGAAAAAATAAACAAGTGGGACTTCATCAGACTAAAGAGCTTCTGGAAGGCAAAAGAAACCAAGATCAAAATGAAAAAACAACTCATCAACTAGGAGAAAATATTTGCAAATCATATAGCCAATAAGGGGTTAATCTCTGTAATATATAAAGAGCTCACACAAAAGAACTACAAAATACAAACAGCCCAATCAAAAAGTGGGCAGAGGATATAAATAGACATTTTTCCAAAGAAGATAGACAGATGGGCAATAGGCACAAGAAAAGATGCTCAACATCACTAATGATCAGAGAAATGCAAATCAAAACTACACTTACATACCATCTTAAGCCCATTAGAATGGCTATAATCACCAAGACAAAAAACAACAAATGTTGAGAGGTTGCAGAGAAAAGGGAAACCTCATACACTGCTGGTGGGAATGCAAACTGGCGCAGCCACTGTGGAAAACAGTATAGAGATTTCTCAAAAAATTGAAAATAGAAATACTGTATGACCCAGCTATCCCACTACTGGGTATTTATCCAAGGAACTTGAAATCAACAATACAAAGAAACTTATGCACCCTTATGTTCATTGCAGCATTATTCACAATAGCCAAGACATGGAAGCAACCCAAGTGCCCATTGACTGATGACTGGATAAAGAAGATGTGGTATATATATACAATGGAATACTACTCAGCCATAAAATATACAAAATCGTCCCATTTGCAACCACATGGATGGACCTTGAGGACATTATGCTAAGCTAAATAAGCCAGGCAGAGGAAGACAAACACAGTATGATTTCACTCATATGTGGAATATAAACAAACTTATGGACAAAGAGAGCAAATTATTGGTTACCAGGGGGAAGTGGGGTGGAGGGTGGGCACAGGGGGTGAAGGGGCACACGTATATGGTGTGTGACAAATATTAATGTACAACTGAAATTTCATGATGTTATAAGCTATTGCGACCACAATAAAAAAAAAATGCAGCAATGTGAGGTGGGAGACTGAAAGACGAGGAGTTTTTAGGAATTATAGCCAAGAAGTAGACACCATTTCAAGGAAGACATGTACTTACATTTTGCTGCAAGCGAAATGCCTGTCTTTAAAGGGTAGCGTCTGAAACAAAGAGAAAAAAGTCTGTTAGAAAAAATTGTACAGTGATCAATCCAAAATGAAAAAGGCATTGAATTGCCTTTGAAGGTACAGACAGCAACTGAAAAAATGATAAGCCTAGAGATGAAAAAATTGTTATTGGGAAACTCTTCTTGGAGGTACAGGATGCTGTAGGCCACAAAGAAAATACCTAAGTGGACTGCCATGTCCCATTGCATGCTCAACTCCTTCCCCCAAACACCCTAGAATTTCGAGATCACTTGATGCTCATTTTGTCTCCCAGGTCTGACCCCAGAGAGAGGAAACATGAAGAGGCTGGTTGCCTAGTTCAATGGCTTAGACTCATCATTCTCTTGCTCCTGATTCATACTGACATTGTACCTTGTTCTCATAGGCCCAGTTCTGACACATTGTTCCATTAAATTAAACTCCTAAAAATTATGATTTTTCTCAATTCGTGCTTATTAGGGTAAGTGCACAAGTTTTCTTTTCCAAGAAATAAAAAGCTGTTCTGAGGAGTAGTGAAGAGGATTGAAATTAATGCCAGGTTTCTCTTTATTCAAGACGGCAGTGAAAGGAGAGAAACAATTAGACTGTGCCTATGCTTGGCAGGAGTTTGCCAATTGTGCAGGCAATTTGTCCAGTGTGGCAGCCCACCAGACAATTCAGCTTGCTTCCAAATCCATTTTTTTTTGGATCTATTGTGGTTATATCCAAATGGGCACTTTTTAGGGTGGTAGGTTTAATTGGGGGTGGGAGGTAACTTCCCGTGATTGATATGAGCTATCTGCATTCTGAGATTCAAGTGGTTCCAGGTCATCTCCCAGACTGAGGGCTCAAGTCATGGTGTCCTCACACCTACAGAACGATCTTGCCACACCACCCACATTGGTCTGGAGAAGTTGGATTAGTCACTTCAGTGAGCAATGTTTTTCCAAGCTCTGCCTTTTTAGTAATAGTGTGACTTTGGCAAATTGATTCAATGCTCTGGGATTGATAGAAATAATAATATTGGCAATTTTAAAGAATTGTTGTGAGGGTTAAATAAGATAATACATGTAAAATAGTAACATAAGGCTAGCCCATAGTAGGGACTTGATAAATGTTACCTGGTGTTTTTACTGTTGTTGTTATTATTGTTATCAGAAGGCTAATTTGGAAAACCAAATTTAGAAGATACGATAAGTCCATGAAACTGGGGCTAGGAAGGCAGCTATGGATGGGGTCTTGCATGGGTAAGATGTCTTCACTCTTGGCAATCAAAGCTGTACCATTGTCCCAAATTTCTCTCCCAGGTAGCTTTCCTCAACTCTGCTGAGTATAATTCTAGTTAGATCAACATCCACACTGCAAAGTCCCTAAGTGTTTTAGCAAGCCAACTAATTCCTCATTTACCATCCATGGAGATGGTTGGGGTTGGGGCTCCTAGACCGACAAATTGCCAAAATATTGAATTACTTGGCCCGGGAAGAATAGGGATAAATCTTTCAGAGTTCTTTATGCAAGGTAGGTACTTAATGCATTTTTATTGAGCTGAGTTTTTATGATGGATTCTATGGTGTGACTCAGCAAGAGGTCACACGCATGTGTCACTGAATGGAAGAAATCAGGAACAGTTCTGTGACATACAACACTCCCCCCTCCAAATCCCCCACCTCCAAACAAAAAAGTATATTCAAAATTCCTCTGAAACTGTGTACCCTTCAGCTTCTTTGGGCAATTTGTTGCTAGGAAATAAATTTAGCACGCTCTCACCTACTGAGAAAAGTTTTTACTCCTGCTTCAGATAACAGGTTCTTCTTTAGCTACAAAAATATTCACAAAGAGAACTGTCTGTTACTTCAAGAATTCATTGGACAAGAGCTCTTCATTTGGGCAACAATTTCACAGCAATATCATTGATTACTTTGAAAACTACTATTCAGAGCTGTCCTTGAGACTTAATTATCCAGCTACCTAATGCAGTGGCACTGGTCATTTTCTTGGGGTACAAAATAAATAAAGCAACTAAAAACACTGTGGTGGTGAGGTTTTACAGACCATAGAGGAACATAAAAACTCGCCTTTGCTTTTCTAAGTTTCCACATTAGAAAAAGAAAAACCTAAATTCTTAAAGAAGAAAAAGCCCTTAAAATTATCAGTTAATTCATTCGCTAAATGTTTATTGAGTGCCTGGTATGTGCAGGACACTGTGCTAGGCCCTAATCATACATTCCCTGCTTCATGATAACATCTGTCTGGTTGAAGAGACGACTAGACAGTTTGGAGGCATCACATGATGATATAATGCAAAATGACAAGGTGGTCGGTGAGGAGGGAAGGTGGTCTTTGATGATCCAATCTAGAAAGAGAAATCAGGGAAATCTAATTGGGAAAGTCTTGGGATAATATCTGAAGAAAAATTCATCTTTTATAAGAATATCAGCAAACATTGCCAAGTGCTTGATGCATCAGGAACGGTCCTCAGTGCTTTTCCATGCATGGATTCACTGATTACTCATAACAACCCTAGAGAGGTGCTATTCTTACCCCAGGTAGGAGTTAAGAAGGCAAATGGGGAGTGTGGAGCACACCAGGCAAAGGGACATCTTCAAGGGCATGGACCTGGCAGGAGGAACTGGCTCCTTTGAGGGACTGAGAGACTAAAACCACCATTTGCCTTATTTTGCACACCTTCAGCAAAGTCCACTCTTCCACTATGTAGGGGTCTTTAAGGGATCCTGGATGGGGCTCTTCTGATATCAGCCCGGGATGACTTTAGTTATGGAAGCCTAGCCTCTCTGCTCCCACCTCAGTGAGGGAGGGGGGTATTTCTTGGCTCTCTGCCCTGTATCATGCCCACCCATCCTCAGAAGATGTGCAGGGCCAGCAGTTACCATCCTTGGGTCATGGTATCACATGGGCCTGATTCAGTATCCAAGTCCACATGGAATGGACCTTTGCCAAAGCCCTTGGATACCTTCATTGGTCTCCTTGTTAGGAATATAGTCTCCTACACTCCAGCGATCACTGGGATCTGTCAACTGATGGTCCTAGAGCAGCCGATCTCTAGGCCAAAGTGTTCAACTAGAGGATTCTCTGCACAACCCATCTATCTCAACTTATCACCCTGATTCCTGTGGCTGATCCATCTGGTTATGATCTGTAACCTACAATTGACACCCATCTAAAAAATAGACTACTTAGTAATTTCTGAGTGTTCTATGCTGATTGAAGTGTCTGGCTTGAGTTGTCTGCTACTTAATATTTTTATGATATGCAAAAAGTTGCATCAGGGGGCTGGCTGGTGGTGCAGTGGTTAAGTGTGCACGTTCCGCTTCGGCGGCCCCAGGTTTGCCGGTTTGGATCCCGGGTGCGGACATGGCACCGCTTGGCAAGCCATGCTGTAGCAGGCGTCCCACATATAAAGTAGAGGAAGATGGGCATTAGTTCAGGGCTAATCTTCCTCAAAAAAAAAAAAAAAAGGTTGCATCAATGCAAGTATAACTGTTTGTATAATGTAACATATGGAGTCAAATCTCTTATACACTTATCCCTCTAATATATAATCAGCTAGTTCCCATATGTCCAAGATTATAAACTCTTGAGATGTATCGGCTGCCACTTTCTTATTCTGAATATTGAATGCATTCCGCTTTATGTTAATTTAACTTATTTGCTTAATGCTGTAGTAGGAGTACTTATTCTCTGTTCCGCGTATTCTCATGAGTGCTGGGAACCAATAGTTTTTTTAATTACCTGGAAAATTAATTTAAGAATAAACCAATGCAGGTTTTATTTAAGGTAGAATATGCCAATTATCAGATAATAATAATAATCTGTGAATGGTTGATCTCCTCCTCACTTTGATCAAGTGTTTTTTAATACCTGAGACTATGCTTCAATAAATGGTGCTGGGAAAACTGGACAGCCACATGCAAAAGAATGAAGGTAGACCACTATCTCACGCCATACACAAAAATAAACTCAAAATGGATCAAAGACTTGAAGATATGTCCTGAAACTCTAAAACTCCTGGAAGATAATATCGGTAGTACACTCTTTGACATCAGACTAAAAAGGATCTTTTCAAATACCATGTCCTCTCAGACAAGGGAAACAAAAGAAAAAATAAACAAGTGGGAATTCATCAGACTAAAGAGCTTCTACAAGGCAAAAGAAACTAGCTGAAAACAAAGAGACAACCCACCAATTGGGAGAAAATATTTGCAAATCATATATCTGACAAGGGATTAATCTCCATAATATATAAGAAAACTCACACAACGGAACAATGAAAAAGCAAACAACCTGATCAAAAAATGGGCAGAGGAGATGAACACACATTTTTCCAAAGAAGATATACGGATGGCCAATAAACACATGAAAATATGTTCAACATCACTAATCATCAGGGAAATGCAAATCAAAACTACAGTAAGATACCACCTTACCCCTGTTAAAATGGCTATAATCACTAAGACTAAAAATAACAAGTGTTGGAAAGGGTGTGGAGAGAAGGGAACCCTCGTACATTGCTGGTGGGAATGGAAACTGGTGCAGCCACTATGGAAAACAGTATGGAGATTCCTCAAAAAGCTAAAAATAGAACTACCATATGATCCACTATCCCACCACGGGGTATCTACCCAAATAACTTGAAATCAACAATCCAAAGTAACATATGCACCCCTATGTTCATTGCAGCACTATTCTTAATAGCCAAGACATGGAAGCAACCCAAGTGTCCATTGACCAATGATTGGATAAAGAAGATGTGGTACATATATACAATGGAACACTGCTCAGCCAGAAAAAAAGACAAATTCATCCCATTTGCAATAACATGGAAGGACCTAGAGGGAATTATGCAAAGCGAAATAAGCCAGTCTGAGAAAGACAAACACCAGACGATTTCACTCATATGTGGAATATAAACAAGTATGGGGACAAAAAAAACAGTTCAGTGGTTACCAGGGGAAGGGGGGTGGGGGGTCAGCACAGGCGGTGAAGGGGAGCACTTA